AATATATAGATTAACATATCGTCTTTACAATGCTTATATTACTAAAAGATCGATATTGTTAAACTTTATGCTTTGTTTTAAGTAAATATATCTTGTAGTATAACATTACGTCCTAGAAACAAGTAAATATATCGCGTCTTAAACTATTAAAAAAGTTTTATTTTAACTAATATCCAATAGACATTTGGTAATTTATATACCCCATTCTAAATATATATAAAAAAACCCAGTCCATGTTTCAGGTTCTTAACTCAGTTCTTTCATGACCAGAGTTTAAATTACTCAATATATTTGATGTTTTTAACCGTCCAAAATGTTTAATTTTATAAGTACCTACTATTTGTCTACATTACAATCTTTAGTATACACAATAAAGTTTAGACATCTCCTAGATATATATCCCAAACCTGTCCAAAACATGGAGATAATCTGAAGTGAAAGACTCAAATAATCAAATCAATTGTAACAGCGTTTTCTAATTGCATAACAATGAGAGGTAATTCCGCAAATGCTTTTAGACCGTCTACCGCAAGCCACGGTCAGCGAAACAAAAGCACGAGTCGGCTAATTATACAAAGAGCTAATGTGCATTTGTTTTTCCCCGACTAATTAAGAGGAAGTTTTAAAAAAATGGCGGACGGAGCGTCGCTATCAAACATTCATAATAACGCGTACTTTAATTTGAGATGCTTTTTTATAATTTGCGAGAGAGGTTCCTTCTTGGGGTCCAACGCGTGACATAATTCAGATATTTTTTTAAGTCTATTCAAAAATGGTTTGAATTTGAACTTTTGAATTTGACAGAGTGGCTGTAAAAGCTTTTCAGGTTTTAATTTCTATAATTCTGTTACAATATCACAGTCAAATAAAAAACGGTAATATATGTACCTTTTATCTTACAAAGGAGATGTAAAAATAGCCACTGCTTCAGTCAGACATCCTCCATATTTAATCTTACCGTGATCACGGCTGCTGCAAAGCCTACGAAACGTCTGGCCATAGTTTTCATTTTCAATTAAGTTTCGCCAATATATATCGCATTTCAAGCCGTTTAAGTGTTTTATTAAAGTGTGTACTACTCGCGTAAACCCTTATTTGATAAAAAATATTATTTTATTATTTGAATTCTCATATATAATTTTAGTCAGTTGTGGTGAATGGTTTTAATGTCTAAAACTCCACCAATCAAATTAAACTGTTTAAATTTTGTACTTCTTTGATTTCTTAAAATCTGTACTATACAAACGACATCACAGTGAACATGAGAAGTATTTTGTTCTGACGATATAAAGGGAGTTTTAATCAATACCGAAATAAATAGCGCAACTATTTTTACATGTGTCTATTTCACTTGATATAACAGAGACGTATTAAACACAAACAAACTTCGTTCAATAAAATAAGACACGACAGATCGCAGGTCGCGGTTTCACCTCGACGTTGACTAATCGCTCATTTAATTTAGGGAGCAATTATAAAATTTACGCAATAAATTGTTAGGGAGGCATTAATCAAGAAGTTGGGACACTGATTAAAATGCCGTTCGCAACTATGTTGATATTGTTAATAATTCAGCCGGTAGTGGAGGGTTGATCAGGTGTGGTTTACCCTAATGTTGCTTGAGGAAAGTGAAATAGACATATCTATGCATCTCTGTCTTTGATGATTAATAATAATCAGAGCTATTATTAAAAAACACGAATTCTCTATACCAATATTGTATATAAAAAACAAACTGAAACAAATAACACAGCTGGGAATCAAACCGGCAACAATGTACCACGTCGTTGAATTAGTAAATTAAAGATTGTAATATGCCTATAGAATTGGATTACGCAATCTTAGAATACATGAGGCTTCTACAGCTAGAGTGGCCTAATAACAAAAAACATGATTTTCAATAAGGAGGAAAATCAAAATGCGCAATTAACTTGGGCGAAAATGAATTTGTTCTATTATTTATTAGTATGTTAACTAATTTCAGTCACTGTGCTCTTGTAGATTAACATTTTTAGACTATAAAAATATAAATAAGTCATTTCATAAAATTTAAATTAGGCTACTCTGACTCTAGCGGCCTCATATTATAACTAAAGTTGAAGTTACGACTTATTAAATGAATCTACGGCGCTACGAAGCTACGGCGTAGAACGTCTACAGTGCTAACCATAGCAGACAACAAACGCTGAAGTCCACAAGTTTTATAAGGGTTAAATCTATATATTTCACAAATGGCTTGTACATAATAACCCTAAGTGTTTCGTCTCTATCATTCTCTATAACGCTGTCTTCTATCCCTTTCGCACGCGCCGTGAGCAGTGAAGAATCTATTCTGAATCACTTGCCCTCCCTTATCTCAAATGAACTGAGTAGGTAGTTTGAAAGATGGAGGAGCTCGCTATGTAGAGGGGAAATCTGTGTGTATAGACTCTGCTTGGATTGAAAATCGATAGGTGTATAGCATGTTAACGTACATACGTCATATGTTTTTACAGTACTGCAATAAATATGTAAGAAAGGGTTTTACTAAGTTTCTCATATTTTATATATTTATATGGTATTAAGGTTTTAAAATATTATAAAGTAAATAAAGGTTGTATTTTAGGAGGGAAATACTTCTATTATATTCATAGAATGCAAATATCTATTGATTTCGTACAATCATTAATTCATTCTTAAATTAATATACTTAATTTCTACTACAACTTATTTTTTTTATTTACGTGTCGAATATTGACGTGTGTTGTATAAATTTAATTAAAGCAAGTTTACACATTACTTAACAATTATTTATTTAACATATAAACCATTGTAAAGTTATGTATTTACTACACTCAATATTCAGATTAATGTTTAGTAATTTTTATTAATTGTTAAAAATTCTTTGATAACCGATAATTTTCTTATTGGAACAAAGGCTGTACACAATTTACCTACCCTTATCAGAGGATGTCATTATTACGAAAACAGCGGAACCCATCGTGAATTATTCATTGGGTTTCGAATGGGAAATCGTATCAAGTAAGTACAATGTGTGTTGTTAAATTGTGAAAATAGGGGAAAGCGAGTCTTGAGTTATCATTCTACATATTTACTGTTTTAGGTAGACTCTTAGATATCTTTTCCGCGGTTTTATTCTCTATATGTTTATAATTATAGTTTTATATAGTCGTTACAATTTTTCAATTATTGTATGTCTGAAGCCAATTATAATTCTACTTATAAAACCTAAGTGAATTTTTTATAATAGATCAGATAAGCATGGGATTCATGTGGGTTGAACACCCCTAAACTAGATGCGCACTTGGCTTTGGATATTCTGAAATCTACAGGCTGAGATCGAAACACGATTAAACGGGGCTTTCATATAAATTAAAAAATATATAAAACACTACACACAATATAAATTTAAATAAAACACTTTAACGGTTTAAAACGCATATCGCGTTTTAAACCGTTAAGTGTTTTGTTATTAGTTAAACTTATTTGAAAATGATTTTTAACTTCGGCCCGACGTTTCGGATGCTTTGCAGCAGCCGTGGTCACGGGGAGATCCGTTTTAAACCGTTAAAGTGTTTTATTTAAATGTGTAGGTACTACTCGCGTAAAGTAGAGACAGTATTTAAGTATAAATTTAATAGAAACAAATTGGACCCAATGGGGATCGAAGCCATATCTGTTGATTATTAGCCATACATTACTACCGGTAAGACAGACGAGCCTAATACATTCCCTATTTTTAAATTAAGATGGCTGTAATAAATAAAAATCATAACATAAAGCCTTGGAAGTAAAGATCCTCGTTATTATGTAGAGCTTAGAGAGACACAGAGCTATCAGTGAAATCTTGGTATAGCTATGGGCGCCGACTACAGTATATTATATTCATGAACTGTCTCAACGCTGTGGCATACAGATGGAAAGTTTAGCAAACATTACCGCTTATTTAATCATAAAGAACGGCTATTAAGGCGGAAGTATGAGCGACTATCTAAAGTGACGAGCCGTGATAGACAAGAGAAATTGTAAGGACAGGCATCGTAATGCATATCATTGTTTTTCTTGTTTTTCAATTCATAATTCTGTGGGAAAACAATGATATGCTGAACGATGGCCGTGAAAGCCTTACAGAGTTTATTAGGCATCGTAACACACGCAACGACAGTGTGTATCAAGATCGCCCCACCTCGCCGCGATCGTCTCGCCTCACCCCGTCCACGATTATAAAACGCCCTTACTCATCTTAGGTGTTAATGTACATTAATTATGTGGCGAGGGAGCTTAAGATGTTGTGACAGACTCCGGCGCGAATTACGCTTCAAATGGACCTCTTAAAGGAGTTTGTTTTGAATTATTGTGGCCTTATTTGAGTTATGTGGGATATCTCTACTTTGTCTTTTGTTAATTATACATTGTATGCTACGTGGAAATTAGAGCACCTGTTGTTATAATCCATGTTTGAGGTGTATGTTCAAATGGACGAGACAGAAATTAGTATAATGGTTTGTCACAAATTATTTAATTTAAGCAAGGCTTCTGAGAACTTTATTATTGTTATTTTAAAAATCGAAAATAAATTGAAAAAATTTTCGACTCGGCAGGACTTAAACCGGCGTCATCAGCGTTCCGTGCTGTTGCTCTTTTTAAATTATATAGTGCCTTCATGTGCAATAACATGTAAAAAATAATTAAGTTTTCAAGCAGTTGTTCTTTTAACTAAAACGATTTAGTTAAAAGAACAACATTATTTATACCTAAAGTTTATGATGTTTAGGATGCTTTGCAGGATCTATGATAACGAGGAGACCGTAGTTAATAAATAAGTTAGTAAATAAGTAACTATTTCATATTTTAAACCGTTTAACGTGTTTTATTTAAGGGTATACTCACGGAGTAGAGACGAAACTGAAAAATCACGTAATCTTCGCTCTAAATTCATGTCATGATGAAGTGTTAGTTTTTTATCGTTTCTTTTAATCTAGTTGTATTATTAAACTTACCGGTATGTATGTATGTGTGTTTCTTCATGTCAGACTTCTGATGAAACCGCTTTCCGCAGTACTGGCAGGGATACGGCCGAGTGTCCGAGTGTATTAGCAGGTGAGTAGACAGCGTACTTGATCGCTTGAAGGTCTTCCCGCATTGTTTGCACTCGAAGACTTTTTCTACGCTGTGGACAGCCCTGAAATATTGATATCTTAAGATGGTTGATTCTGCGTTAAGATTAAGCTTAAGATAACTTCTATTTTTGGGCAAGTACAAGGTTATACTGTAGTTCCTAACATTGAAATAGAATCGATTGCGACTTTTTCATATTTATTAATAAAATATCGTATTATGCCTTTGCCTTAATTTTCAAAGAGGAATTTCAAAGGTTCGATGGTCCGATATTAAGAAAAACTTAAAGTTATGCTCGAATTCATGGCTTCGCGAAATATTGAACGCGACCCCATTCGGGGTAATGGGGTGATATTTAAAGAGTGGCATTATTGTTTTGTGCTCTTTGTATGATATCTAAGCCTTAAAATTATATTTAAATGTAAGCCTTAAAATTATACTTTTATTATAACGTTAAGTCGTAATAATGATTACCTGTGTTGGCTAAGACTGATTTCATGTCCAAACGTCTTGCTACATAGCTCACAAGCGAACGGCCGCTTCCCATTATGAGATCTACGAGCGTGGACCTCCAACCCATGGGGAGTACTGAACATCTTCTCACACTTGACGCATGAATACACATCCCCAATTGGTAGAGGTCTGGATAGAGGACTGGGGTTTCCTAGCACAGCTGCTCTAAGCCGTAATAACTCGGGCCCAGCGGCCTGCACAGCATGCAAGTAAAGGTTACTATATCCCCCCCACCCAGGGAGACTGAGACTTCCAGCATCTCTTAAAAACTCCGCAAAAGGCAGTGGGGGATAAAGAAACGGTCTGTGCGGCTGTGTTCTTGGAGCGTCAGGTCTTAATAAAGCACTGACTGAGAAGGCCTCTGATCGCTTAAGGGTTGGGGAGGAATCCGGGGGTCGTCTGGGTGATGATGGGGGAGAGTCGACTTCTAGTTCGGGGGATGATGATCGGACCGAACGTGGTGATGGTGGGGAGGGGGCCCAGCAGGGGCTACCACATTGGGATGTCGGGGAAATGTCGTCTGTTCTTGTCTCGTTGTTGTGGGACTCACTGTCTTCTTCATCAGTACGCTCGCCTACTAAGCGGCTGATTCCGAATTTGATTTCATCTGAAAAGAATAAAATATAATTTGAAAAGCTTAAATATTCCAGGGAAACAAAAAATTGTTTCAGTCGGGCAGGGCACAGAAGTCTGATCAACTACTTGCCTGTTGAAGAACGGATCAGTGAAACGGATACAAAAATGTGTTTGGCCCATGCCCCACGAGGGGGGAACTGGATTTCACAATTCGTCCACAGATATGAAAGTTTAAGTATCAAAAATATGTTACCATAAACATTATAATTATGTACCAAGTAATTAAAATACTTTGCGAATCAATATTAAATATAATGTCACCAAATAAGAGTTTTAGTAAGACGTACTGGGTAAAAATAAAAATGTTCATTGCAATTATTTCAACTAAAATATTATAAGTATATTTATAGTCTAAGTTTACACGAGTGGTGTTATAAATATCCTTCATCAAGAACAGACCATGATTTTTAAATAAAAGTAATAAGTGTAGTGTTTTAAATCGTTAAATGTGTTTAATTTCAATTCAAAGTCGTGAGATAAAACTAATTATTCTACATTGTATTCTCCGAAAAGGGCACTATTGTTTGTTCAAAGATCACAATAGCGCCCCTAGCGCCAGAAAGCGCACAGGTGCCACACTTGTTCCCGATGAAATGAGCCATATCATGTCGTAGCAGCAAATTGACTTTCATCTGCTACCCCTCGCCCAGCCCCAATAATTAACACGTCGGGTCGGAAAGACCCCAATCTTTTTTACAATTCACTAATCCGCGGGCGCGAGCCTCTTTGTTCAGTTGCCTTACTGTAACATATTTTAATTCAACAAATGTGTGACGTGTTACTGTTTATATATGGGACTGTGCATAGGATTTGTTAAACGAGGAACAACCATAAAAATAATAAGTACATATGGCGTAATAGATATTATTACGTTATTTTTATATATTACCATTGAGTTTGCTACTTATCTGGCGAGTATTAAAACAATATAATACTATGATTAGTAAATATTACGTATTCGTGAAAGTTACAGTTTTAAACAAAAAACGTCGAAAAGTAGTTTAATAGATATTGCAATTAATTTTATATCCTTAATTCTAGTGACTAACACATATTAATATACGATTTAAGTTGTTACGAACACTTATTAGATTGAGATTCATGTTAAGAGTGTTTAGTTTATAGATACATAGTATTAAGCTTCATAATCAATTATGACACGTATTTACAGAACAATAAATGATCCATACATCATCAAGGAACCATCAGCTCAAACTCACGCTGTCCAAAACAAACATCCATCTCTAGAGGAGACAAGTTACACTAATGAAGAGCGAACCCCAAATCGGAAACGGAGCAGCTGTCAGCGGAACCAATCGGCAGAGATCGGCAAAACTCGCGAGCCCTCGGTCATTTCACGGCCGGGCCTCTTTGAACAATGCGCTGCGTTTGAGGGTTGACTACACTTGTTTGTTTGTCCCCCACGCGACACAGTTTTATTGCCCCATAGTATTTATTACATATTAATGGTTATTTGGGCTCATTGTGCCGCCTCGACAGTATGCTCGAATTCATGGCTTCGCGAAATATTGAATGCGACCCCATTCGGGGTAATGGGGTGATATTTAAAGAGTGGCATTATTGTATTGTAATCATTGTATGATAATTTTGGGTATTTGCGATTTTGATTATGGATTGAGAAGTGTGTTTTATTAGGAAATTGTTAGACTGCTTCGATTCAAAACAATGATTATAACAACACTTGTTAAATGCGAATGTCATTAGAAAGTATGATAAAGTTTTTTCAGGACAACAGACAAGCATAGAGTTCACTTATTGAAAGATAAACCAGTCATTAACAAATTTTGTTAATTGCGGACGGTAGTTCGTGAAACGGACGAAAATTCGACATTCCCTCCATTTATTCTAACAATAAATTAATTGGAAACTTGGTCCCGATATAAATGAAATCTACCCTTTATGGGCTTTCCCTAGATTAACGAATCCGTCAAAGGTTGAATAATTCTTTATTTAAAAATTATACGTTTCTTTAACTAAACCTAAGTTTATAAGAAATTAAACAAAAGAAAAGCAATTGTATGGCTCTCTACAACTTCATACATAATTGTCGTTATGCATTTTTGTATATTGTTTCTATCCAAATAATGCATTAGTACCATTAACAAGACCCTAATGCAATTTTAATTGTGAGGTGCGGTTTGTTGCATTCAGATTGCCGTTTTTCCGAGAGCTTTTAACAAATTAAAAATAATGGAGCCTCGTTTGAATGTGGACTAATTGCAGATCGTGAAGACTCGCAATTTACTTGTGTATTGATAGATATTACGGGACTAGCTGTGCTAGCGACTTCACGTAGAATACTTATTTGGCCATCAAAATTTGTTTCAAATCTCATCTCATCTTTCTCAATTATTGTTGATACCCACAACGTCGGTCGCGTCCCGTCGTTCTTGAAAGTTAATCTTATAAAATAGATATATACTGTCGTGGACATTTTTGATTTAAAGAGTAATCATCTCAGAGAAATCTTGAACCGTTTTCCTAGCGCACACAACGGAAATCATCAAAGATGAATATTTTCCCCTGTTTTTTATACAGTTCCCACAGTTTCTTGGAGTTTACGCGAGTAGTAAATATCTTATCAAAACCTTAACACGGTTTAACCAATTTTACTTATTTAGCCCCGTGAATTCGAGCCGTAGTTCTAAATAATTCTAATGACTTTTTAAACCGTTCAAAGTTAAATTGATTATGAACTTTCGCGTGTTAACTGAAGTAGATTAAAGGACTGCTACAGAATATTGTCAATTAATGAATAATTGTAATCATCTACAATTACAGCGGGGCTTTAGGCCACACAAAGGAGATGCAATGTCACGCTCCTCTCGTTTGTCAGGATTAGAGCTCGTAATAAAATGTTTAATAATGATTCCAATCAGAATTATTATATGGGGAGCGTGGCTAATCATGTTTTTAATAAACTGTACGCTTTGGGCCTTCTGGGGCCAAAAATTAAGACGGACGAAATCCTTAAGGCATGGTGCGAACATATTTCTGTGTCCGTCTCACTGTCCGGTTCTTTTACAGGCAAGTAGTTGATAAGACAAATTTTTTTGACCGTGACATTTGACCGTTTGGCCACAGAGAGTACAATTCAAATTTTTCTAGAACCTGTTGGACTTCGTCTGGAAATCTGGATATTTAAGTAGTAGTAGTATACGAAGCTCAAGCCGGGTCACCAATCACCGCATGCTGATGAAATAGCCGCAAAGTGAATTCGCGTTTCGGTTTCAGTTTGTGGATTTTCAAAGCCAAAATAGGTCGACAGCGCAACGACAGGTATTTGTCTGGAGTGGTGTAAGGGTGCCCAACCATGTCTGTCTTCCAATATTAAAAAAATCTGATGATCATATTCAAAACTACTCTATGGTACATTTTTTTTTTGTATTTCTCGGAATTTTCTTTTTAAAATAATTTAACATAGTTCAAAGTTATTTAATAACATTAATAACTCCTTAAACGTATATATTTTGAAAACTTTAATATTTTTCACATGTTATTGCACATGAAAGCACTATATAATTTCAAAAATCGAAAATAAAATGAAACAATTTTTGACTCGGCCAGGACTTGAATCGACATCCGGCAACCGGCAACCAATTGAGCTACCGAGTCCTACACCTCATCGTCGAATTTTTTCAACTTATTGATACATGCAGGTCTCGCGCACCGATATTTAGTCTAATACGGCTGCTTCAAGCACGCAAATCAACTGGTCGTAATTAAAAAAGTAATATAGTTCGCGTTTTAAACATTTTTTAACGTGTCGTACAACGTTAATTGAATACATCATTCCTATATTAATCAACTATCATAAAGTATATCAAAAACGCGATTAAACAACACAAAACGCATATAAATCAAATGTTATCATTCCTTTTAATATCTTTTATCAATCGTAGTAACGTTTTAAAACCGCTTATCGGCATGGATTAGTTAAATCTTGGATTGTAAATGTCCACACGATTAGCTGTTTGCGTATTATAAACGACGGCTCTGTAAAACGGGTGATTAGTTTTCCAATGATTTTGTTTCTCCTTTTTTGACACTTGCTAGAAGCTGAACAACTACACGAGATGCGCTGTCGGCCTATTGGCTTTAGGCTCTTAGATATCGCAGTGTCCCAGATTTTTTCTTATTGTTGGGAATCAAACTTATGCCCCGTTTATTATATGCCATATATTGTTATATCCACGATTCCTTTAAAATTATATGTTTATAATGATTAAAAACATCCCCTTTCTCTATTAAAAACATAGAAATAAAAAATTGTACTATTAAAATACTTTAAAGGTCCTTTACAATACATTGTGTTTTAATCCGTTGAATTTCATGTTCATGTGTATTCCGAAAATTTTATTCAACACCTTAAATATAGCGGGTTGTAAATTTACTTCTATTATTTTAGTTATTAATTATTATAATAACTATTATACTGTGTTTTTTTATTATTAGACCTCTGACGCGTAATAAACGCCTCAGTCAATGTGGCGAATCCATTACGTTAGATAACGCATGTAGAATTTTTGGTTTGTACTAAAAATTTCGGTTTCTCCAAGACGTTTTCCTTCATAACACGAGTGAGATATTATATATGCTCCTAATTGCAATATGGTTTAAAACCGCAACGAATAGCAAAATAATTATTAATTAAATTTATTATAATTTTAATTTCGTAATTTTAATACAAATAATGTATGTTTAAATACGCTTTAGATTAAATATTGTGTGTAGTTTACGCGAGTAGTACACATTTAAATAAAATACTAACGTCTCCCCGTGACCACGGCTGCTGCAAAGCATCCAAAACGTCGGGCCGTAGTTAAAATAATTTTCTAATAAGTTTACCTATTATATATCGCGTTTTAAACCGTTCTTGTGTTTTATTTTAATATTTAGATTGTAAATATACTTCGTCTTATATATAATTATTAGTTTTATGGTTTACAA